TCTAGGGCAGATGACAGAAGAAGGATACAAGATTGAGATGTTGCATCAGTATCTACGAGTACATGATGAACATGGAAGATTGATAATGAAGGTACAACGGTCCAAGAACCGGTTGTACAAGATCACTCTCAAAACTTCACAACCGATTTGTATGGCAACTAGTATTGATGACGAGGCTTGGCTATGGCATGCGAGGTTGGGGCACGTAAACTTTTGAGTTATGGAATCAATGGTTGAGAAAGGATTAGTAGAAGGTGTGCCAAAGATAAAACACCCGACACAAGTTTGCGATGGGTGTTTGGTCGCGAAACAAGTCAAACAACCATTCCCAAAAGAAGCAATGTGGCGAGCAAGTAAACCTCTCGAGCTAATTCACGCTGATCTTTGTGGTCCAATAACACCATAAACTTTGGCAGGTAACAGATACTTCATGCTAATGGTCGATGATTTTAGCAGATACATGTGGGTACATATGCTGAAATCAAAAGACGAAGCCTTTGCAACCTTCAAGAAGTTTAAAGCTCAGGTTGAAAATGAGAGTCCATACAAGGTAAAGGTACTCAGGACAGATCGGGGAGGGGAGTTCACCTCCTAATTTTTCTCAGAAATTTTGCAGCAAAGAAGGCATCAAAAGGCAATTAACTGCACCGTATTCGCCCCAGCAAAACGGTGTAGTTGAGCGTCGCAATCGGACCGTTCTTGAAGCCACGAGATCATTCTTGAAGACTATGAGTATGCCTGAAAGATTGTGGGGGGAGGCTGTTCGTCATGCAGTGTATGTTCTAAATCGAATGCCAACGAAAGGTGTAAAAGATATGACACCGTATGAAGGATGGAAAGGAAAAAAACCAACGTTTCAGCATGTCAAAGTGTTTGGTTGCCTTGCACACATGAAGAAGCCATCAAATCAATTAACCAAGCTAAGTGATCGAAGTATCCAGGTGGTGTATCTAGGGGTCGAACCAGGTAGTAAGGCTTATAGATTGTTCAACCCTAAAGAGAATAAGATAATGATGGGCCGAGATGTCATATTTGAGGAGAAAGTTAAGTGGAGATGGGGTGAAGCCCAAAATGGAGAGCAAGATGAACAACCTGGGCATTTTAGAAGTTTTTTTAATTCACCGACAGATGGACAAGAAGTGTATCAAAACCCGGGTGATGAAGAAAATCCTTCTTTCCGGTCGCCGGTGGTTACTCCTTCAGCGACACCAACAAGCACGAGCACAGGTAATCCAACAAACTCGACTCCTCTTACGTTTGATTTTTCAAACACATCTTCTGAACACAGCGAAGGAATAAGCCCTTCCATGTTTGATAATACCCCTGTGCGTGGGTTTCGATCTCTACCTGAGATCTATGGTGAAACTCACCCAATTGAAGATGAAGAACTAGACCGAATGTTTGTTGGTGAAGAACCCTCCACCTATCTGGAAGCAACACGGGATCAAGACTGGTTAGAAGCAATGAAAACTGAACTTGGCTCACTTGAAAAAAATAAAACGTGGAATCTGACAGATTTGCCACGTGGACATAGACCCATTGGACTGAAGTGGGTATTTAAATTAAAAAAGGATCCAGAAGGAAACGTAATAAAACACAAAGCGCGGTTGGTCGCGAAGGGGTATGTACAACGAAAGGGGGTTGATTTTGATGAAGTGTTTGCGTCTGTTGCACGATTGGAGACAATTCGAGTACTCCTAGCTCTTGCAGCAATGGGAGGCTGGAAAGTTCACCATCTTGATGTGAAATCCGCTTTCCTAAACGGAGAGTTAAAAGAAGAGGTATATGTTTCACAACCGGACGGGTTTGTTATTGCAGGTAAGGAAAATCAGGTTTACCGATTAAATAAAGCCCTTTATGGGCTACGACAGGCTCCAAGAGCGTGGAACGTTAAGCTCGAAAAAACACTCAAGGATATGGGTTTTCACAGGTGCCCCCAAGAACAGGCCGTGTACCGACTTCAAAACGCAGAAGCGGTGCTAATAGTTGGTGTATATGTAGATGACTTGATTGTGACAGGTAGTTGTGAAGAAAATATAGTTGATTTCAAGAACCAAATGAAGAAAGTATTCGATATGAGTGATTTGGGATTGCTAACCTACTACCTTGGAATTGAGGTGAAACAAAGTAAAAAGGGTATAGCAATCAGTCAAATGGGATATGCAAAGAAATTGCTAACAGCAGCAGGTATGGCAGATTGCAATGAGGCAAAATATCCAATGGAACCAAAACTTAGCTTGACCAAGAGTGAAGATGAAGCCACAGTAGATGCTACTAAATTTCGGAGTCTTATTGGGAGCTTGCGTTACTTGATACATACAAGGCCAGATCTTAGTTACTCAGTTGGGGTGGTCAGTCGATACATGGAGTCACCTAGAGAAAGTCATTTAAAGGCAGTAAAACACATTTTGAGGTATGTAAAGGGTACAATTAATCATGGTCTTATGTATAGACAAGGAGGAGATGGAAACTTGGTGGGTTATAGTGATAGTAGTCACGGGATGGATCGTGATGATGGCAAAGGCACAACTGGAATGGCATTTTATCTCTCAGGAAATCTGGTCACATGGAGTTCACAAAAGCAGAGGACTGTGGCTCTGTCTTCCTGTGAATCAGAATTCATGGCAGCAACATCAGCGGCTTGTCAAGCATTGTGGTTAAGAAGCCTCTTAAAGGAATTGATCAGCTGGGAGGTTAGAAAGGTCAAGTTATATGTAGACAATAAATCTGCAATAGAACTCATGAAGAACCCTGTATTCCATGGTAGGAGCAAACACATTGAGACTCGATACCATTTCATCCGTGAGTGTGTGGAAAATGGATTAATTTGTGTGGAGCATATAAGTGGAGAGGAGCAACGAGCAGATACTCTGACCAAAGCATTACCCCGAGTGAAGTTTGCTGAGATGAAAAGTCTTCTGGGAGTTGAGAAGCTTGAAGACCCTATTCAGACTTAGGGGGAGAGTATTGGAGTTAATTCTGATTTGAATTTGAGTATAATGCAATAAAGAGAATAATCGGTTACCACATTGTGGTTAACCTGGTAGTTAAAGTTTTCAGTTATAGTTTGGTAGTTTTAAAAGCACTTTTAATTCAGATTTTAATGTGATAAGAGTCTATAAATTGCAATCAGTTTGTAGTTTGTTTGGAGAGTGTCAAATAAAGAAGAATTCAGAAAATTTTATGTGTGCATTCTCGCCTCTGTTTCAGACCTATGCAGTTTTTTATTGTGATCATTTCTAGCTTGATCACCAACAGTCCCCTCCCAAGTGCATACACAAAAAGCATCAACAGTAAAATAATATAAAATAAAAACAATCTAGTAGAAAGAAAAAATGAATATATATATATATATATATATATATATATATATATATATATATATATAACTTTGAGTGGACATAGCAAACATTTGTAAGACTCTAATTGTGCTTCCTTGGGAAAAAAAATTAATAAATTTTTAAAAAATGTCAGAATCCAGATATAGATGAAAACCAACAATATTTAAGTGAAATCAATAAGAATTAAAGCAACTTGAAAACCGTTGTGACCAGAAAGCTTGCAAAGACAAATGGAATATCAGGAAGCCACCATAGTTCCAATAAATGGTCTGAAGTTTTCCTAACTGCAGCTAGAGGTGCACAAACCGGTTTTTTTTTTCCAAACCGGTTCAGGTTAGATCAACAAAGTTACACCCATTCAAGCCTAAACCGGTTCATCAATAAAAATATGTGAATTTTGCAAACAGGTTCCATTAGGTTCCAAACCGGTTCATATGAAACCGATTAAAAAAAAAACCACTTGTATGAAATATGGTTTGAAGCAGGAAGAGTTTGACAGTAAGCAATAAGTTGTCTCCATGCATTTCACGTACAAAACTATACACATTCAAACAGAAGAATCAATTACAAATTTCCAATAAAAATAAGTGGAACAATTATTAAACTATTAAAAAGTATATCAGGTTTAGTTGTGCTTGATATCATTTCTAATTTCTTACTTAAACGTTGATAAAACCAGATAGTTGATCAAAATTGGTCATCATGTTCATATCCAACGCAGTTACTGATAGACATGGAACCAATAAATAGGATACAAAAATCGATATAAGGAGACATGGAATACAAGGTTTTGGGTTGATTTCTTAAAACAAAAAAAAGATGGGAGTGACAAACCTGCTCTATAATCCTTTGTACATCATGAGCAAGGCCTTTTTCCCTTAAGAAAAACACATAAACGAAAAACAGACACCCATACCCAATAAAACAGAGAATTATACAAACACACAAAAAATAAAAAATTTCCTACTTTTACTACTTCAACGGTTGTTCCTCCTTCTACAACTTACTCCAAATTCTGTTGTTCATCAAAATGGTCATGCCTAAGTTGTTCAAACCATACCTGTAAATCCAAATAAAAACTAAATCAAATAGGGATAAAATTGATGTTTCTGGTGTCCAGATTTAGATCCAAATCCATAAATCGATACACATACATAGTTAAAAACAGATGTTTTATTTTGAAACATTATAAAACAATGAAATTTTAACATTTTGAAGAAGTTTTATTTAATTGGAAACTATTTGAAGCATGATTAGAATTGTATTAATCATATTAACCTATTTTGTTATCATATTAGTGGTATTTACAAATTTTGAAATGATATTAGTCATATTTAATTTTTTAAAATTCAACAATTTAACAATTAATGAGCCCCGATTAATCCTCTGATAAATCTCTGCCTAGCCGATTAATCCATTGACTCTAGCCCACCGACTAGCTAACGTCGAACGTTTTTTACAACCTTGATATATATATATATATATATATATATATATATATATATATATATATATATATATATATATATATATATATATATATATATATATATATATATATATTACAAAATAATTGCATTGATTGGACTTTGAAGCCAGTCAACCCAAGTAATCAAAGACCTTATGGTTTCTATGAACAAACCAATTAAATGCGTGCCTATGAAAAAATCAACCAACATATTCTTCTTAAAACCAATCAACCCAAGTAATCTAATATTTGCTTATAATCAACATATATATCATTAGTAACCATTATTTGTAGTTTCAACGCACAAGTTACATACAAAAATTACATTATAACAAAAAAAAAATCTCAAGGAAAAATTCACTTGTACACCTATTTATGTTTGTTGTATGGTATGGTAGGCACTTCCCGGGACATTCACAACTAGTAGGTCATCATCGTCTGTCTCCTGAAATATTTTTATATAGTTACACATCTACACATAAAAAATGTTATATACACACAAAATATACATTCTTATAAATAAAAAAAGGTTAACACTTGGTCCCTACTTTTTTCCAACTAAATAAACGATGTTCAAAAAATATTTGAATAATTTTTGTTTTACCTTTTCCTTGCAGTTGTTTACTAAAGTGATGTTGGCCAACAAACGCTTGAGTTGTTTCTTGGCCTTTGCTCGTTCTGAGCGTCTTTCACAACATTGAGCTAACGTGACATCAGCATGACACGCAATACAAAGAGTCCGCATGTTCTCTAGTCTACATTCCCCTGCATAACATATTTAATTATTCTTTTTCTTATTATAAATCTACCCAACTATAACATTGCTATATATAGGAATTCTTTTTCTTGCATTTATTTACCTCCCCCTTGATATACAGGCACAATATGGTCCGCATGCCATGCATTCCCCTCTGTAGGATCACTGATGAGCTTTTCAAGTCTACACAAAATCACAAAATGGAATTATCATATTAAAAACTGAAAAAAAAAAAAAAAAACATAATTTACGTGTTTTCAAGATTTTACACTCACGCATTTTTACGTGCAGCCAGCTTCGGTGCTTCTCTCATAATAAACTCTCTACGCTTCTCAAGAGACAAAGGTTTGATGTTCTTCACAAGCTTACGACAATCAAGATGACAATTTGTACATACGCCATGTTCAATTTGGGCAAGCATCTGTAAATTAAATTTCATTTTTTAAATAAAATATAATATTTCATGGTGATATTTATTTGGAATCAAATTACTGACTTTTCGTAGTAGTCTATTACTAGTTCTTAACCGATATTCTTCATGACACTCCAAATCACAAAACAAATCCTCAAAGAATTCAGGCTCCATTGCACTCTTCTTCCTGGAAATATGTTGTCTTAGTAGTTGCATTGCATTTTATGGTCAAAATCTTTATGTTAATTAATTACAAGTTTGCCACTGAGACTTACATGCAAATTTTTTGACAAAGTTTACAGAGTGGTTCGTTAATGAGTGTATAACCCTGCATGTATCGTCTCTCTTTTTTGCCATGAAAAATTGAAACCTTTCTCCATTTAGCATTTGCAGGGAGGGGGTGGCTTATATCATCCATTGATGTACCACGCTTCTTACTTCCTCCTTTTAGCAAACCCTGTTGGATAATAATAATTTTAAATACCACCCTCAACTATGTGCATGCATACATTTAGGCCCCTCTAGTTACAGTTTGTACTGCATTAAGATTTAAGACTGATATCAAAGGGACAAAAGTTGCAACTTTCTCTCCCACCCAAAAAGATCTTTAATTATCTATCATTTTGGCAAAAGACGTAAACGCCCTCGTAATCATATCGAGAAAATGAAGAAGAATTTTGAGATATACATCTTTGTCATGGTTTTGGCTTTCCATTAAACACAACTCAACAGACAAAGGAAGTTGTAGAGGCTTGCTGTAGAGTTTTCTTTGCTCAATAGGTCTGAGACTGTTCCATTCTTTGAGAAATTTTACAAGGGCAGGTTTGTAAATTGAATCAGCCGAGTTGTCTGGATCTTTTGTCTCAAGTTCCTCTGGTTTGAAATTTTTGAACAATGGGGTAGGCCTTGTTTCTACTCCTTGGATACATGAATACAAGTGGATTCTTCCTGTGTATTTGCTGACCTGGAAAAAATCAAATTAACTATAAACAATAAAACAATTACTTTTTTTTTTTTTTTTTTTATTTTTAAAATTTGGGTTATGAATTTAATTACCTCGAAGCGAAGAGAATGCGATGAGATGCAACCTGTTTCTTCTTCATCCTGGTCAACAGGGTCCTCTTCACTTGGTTTTTCTATCGGATTACACGTGTCAGCTTCTCGTGACATGTGTGAAGAATCTGGTTTTTCCAAAATATCTTGGTTTGCATCTTTACTTCTTGAAGTTGTGGCTCCATTAAAAACTTCATCAGACTGAATCTGTCCACTATATGAATACTGAGAGCATCTCACTAGCTCATTGCCAGAAGATTCATCATTACATTCCCCTGAAAAGAACAAATTTTTATCCATTTCTCTTTCTTCAACAGTTTCAAGTAAAGCAACATCGTCAACCTACAGAAACACAAGAAAACATATGATAAACTTAGTAACTGAAAGTAAATTCCAAAAATTAATAAAGAAAAGATACCATGATCTCCTTCAATGAATCATACTTCCCATCTATAGTAGATGAAGTACGATGCAAACTTCTATTCAGTTTTCTCCAGTGAGACTCATCCGGAGTGTTCTGAAATAAAAGTAAAAAAGTCACTGATAGTTCAAAACACTTGATCATAAATGGACCCAAAAAACTATATAGATAGAAGAGTAAGTAATGTATCTCACCTTGGCACAAAATATATAAACATTGACTGCTTTAGTTTGACCACGCCTATGTGCTCGACTTTCAGCCTACAAAGATCCATAACTCCATCAAGCAACCACAACACCTAGAAACTCCAAAAGCACCACATTTTGAGTTTTTGACTCACCTGTTGAAAGTCAGATATTCTCTCAGGTAATTCTAGAAACACCACATTTTGTGCAGCTGACAGATTAAGTCCACTACTCCCAGCAAGTATCCCAACCAATGCAATTTTAACCTGAAAATTCTCAAGTTACACTGCTACTATACAGTATATACTATATAAGAAACTTCATGTAAGAATATTATAATTTCATGAACATTGTAATGTAATCCTTGATGTAAGAAGACATTTTGCTTGCCTCTTTTGAATGTTGGAAAGAATGGATAGCTTGTTGTCTATCTCTGGCAGATGCATCGCGTGCATCAATACGTACAAACTGAATCCCTTTCTCACACAGGAATTCCTCTAATCTATCTGTAACCTTATGATAATGAACGAAAATTATCATCTTATGAGAGCTTTGACTTAATCCAGTACTTTCATCATCATCAGATTCAGCCATGATTGGATGCATAAGTAACCACTCTTTGAATCCTGATAGTTTTGCGATACCTATAGCTTGATTGGATGGTTTTGAAGGGTTGCCATCAACATCATCCACTGAAAGCATGGAAATTAGATTAACAATAATTTTTTACGGGTGAATGAGTAGAATTTAGAAGTTGCAATTTGCAATTTGCAACAAACAAATGGAGTTACGAAATCTTACGTTCATCATCTTCGGCAATATTTACTGTAAAAGCATTATCATTTGGCATACCACAGATTTCTATTGCAGAATCGATATCTGATTGCTTCAAAACCAAGTTTATGATTTGTCTTCGTATTGGTGGTAATTGCATCAAGACATGCTCCTTCAATCGTCTTATCTAAATCACATATAAGAATATGAATACTGAAGCTAAGCTTCAAGATCTTAATGAAAAGGAAGATAAAGCAAACAATGAAAGAGCTTGTGATTGACCATAACAGTCTGCTTCAGTAGCACATTTAACTCGTCCAAGCGAATACCCTTTGAGAAATCCTAAAATGATCAAAAAGAATGTAAAAGATATGCAGAATTCTGAAAGATATGTGTGGAATGTGGATAACACCCAAACAAATGCTACCTGATAGACAATCCCTTGATAAGTTCGGGAAGTACTCATGGAGCAATAGGTTTTTGCAAATGCAAGCTTGTCTTTCCCAAGCAGTCCAGGCCTAGTCAAAGGCAGGATTTGTCAACAATTATCCATGAATTTAAACAAACTACTATGAGAAAAAGAAAACTTACCATAATATATTTATTTGATGAAAAATGTCATACGGCCTATTAGCACCTAGGAGAAATATGCAACAAAAGAAATTAGGATACATAGAATGGAACACTAAAAGACTGTTTTGACTTTTGCCACAACCTTGACAAAGAAGGGGTCCCTGAGAGTAGAACTATACGATTGATCTTTGTTGAAATATCAAGCAAGGCCTGTGTCTGTGAATAATAGGGAAGAGAATAAGGATTCAAAAGATTTATTTGGATAGAATATATTAGATATCTAGTTCAACCAAATGCCAATATAATATTAAACTATACCTCTCCTGCTTCTGATGATACGCGTTTTGTACAGCGTACATGATGTGATTCATCAACAATCATGACAGCCCATTGTTGTTGTAGTATGCTCTTCTTCAAATTGGAGAGCATTTTGTAAGAAATAACCACAACTTTTGGAGTCCTTGCTAAGTTTATAGGATTGTTTTCATGACCAAAAACTGGAGAAGATGAAGTGATTGAAGAATCATCAGCTACCAAAAGTTTCTCAAGAAGTATGGTTGTATCATTACTAATTGTTGAACAACAAGATAAGGCAATAAGGAATAGTTGAGATACCTAAATGAATATCAGAGGGTAAACAAGATGGAAGCCAATGCTCCAATTCTTCTGCCCATGTATATCGCAAAATAGCAGGACAAACAACTAATACAGGACCTTCATTCATGAAACAGCTTGCAATTGCAATGGCCTGAAGTGTTTTCCCAAGGCCCATTTCATCAGCAATGAGACACCTGCCACCCCTACGCAATCCGAACTTCACACCTTCAAATTGGAAAGGGAGAAGTACCTCCAACAAGGACTTTGGAAGTTTCCCCATTAATTCGTCTACTTTCTCATCAGATAGATGTTCTGGTCTACAGGGTTCCCATCGCCCCTCAATATAAGGGCGTGACAGTATGCTTACAGCTCTACGAGTTATGTAAGGGATGTCTTGGTAATCAATGCGCTCGTTCTTTAATGACTTAAGAACTGCATCATAATCTGTGAGTTTGAACACACAGGCCTCTCCACTACCATGGTTTTGTGTGTAATGTGATGGCACCACCTTATAACATTAAGCAATTGGTGAATTGAACATGCGCAACTAATCGACTTACACATAGCAATTTTAAAAATAACTGTCATTTGAATGTACCCAATGAAGAACATAGATGAGATAACATACATTAGATAGGCATTCGCTTAATTTTTCAAAGCAAGCGGCATCACCAGGGAACCTGTAACCATCAACGCTCAACGGCTTTACTGAGAACGAATCCGGGGAAGAAATCTCGAGTCGGACCATGAATTTTTCTGAAGAGAGCTTTTGACACTTGGCTACCTTCCAGGATGCATCCTCGACGTCGACGCATGGTGCCTTGCGCTTTGCTTCAACGGCAAGAGTCTGTAATTCCATTCGCCCCTCTTTGATCTTCCGGAGGGTTCCCCTTTCTCGTAAGGGTTTTGAAGCGGAAGAGGAATTCTGAGCGGGATAATGCAGTGTGTTCTATTTAATCGGATCTACAAAAGGTACGTTAGTAAGGGTAAAGTCGACCTAATTTTTCAAATTCAAACATTTCTCTAAAAAAAAATATAATAACAAGATTGTTAGGATGAAAGAACTGTAGCTAAAAGAATTTGAATTGGAATTGGAAAACGAATTTAAATCCGTTTCCATATGTTGTTTGGTTGGCAAGAAATAAAATTGGATTTCATTTCAGATTTTGTTTGGTTCACAAATTGAAATTCATGTAAATTGACACTTTTTTGTTTAATTTTATATTGTTTTCTAACTTATATATAAATATACATTATGAAAATTATAAAAACAGTAAAATTTCGGCGGTAGTGGAAATCGTGGTGGGGGCAGTGGCGGTGGTGGCGGCAACAATGGTGGGTGGTGGTGATAGTGGTTGTGATGGTTGTGGTGGTGGCGGCGGTGGCCTTGATTGTGGCAGCGGAAGTGGTGGTGATGGTGGCAGCGGCAGCTAGTGGCGACATCAACGACGGTGATGGTGGTGGCTATAGCAGTGGCGACTCGTGGTGGTGGCGGCGTTGGTAGTGATGGTGGTGGTGGCGGCGACGACGATGGTAGTGGTGGTGGCGGGGGAGGCAGTGGCGGCAGCAGTGATGGTGGATGGTGGTGGCAATGCTGGCGGTGATAGTGGTTGTGGCGGTAGCGGTGGTGGTGGTGGTGGTGGTTGTGGTTGTGGTGGTCAGTGGTTAGTGGTGGTGGTGGTGGTAGTGAGTTTTCTGATAAGTACAAAAGGTATTTTTGTAATTTGCCATTTTTCTTGATGAGAATGAATGTTTTCCATCCAACTTTAGAAGGAATTCACTTTCCTCCATGTGGTGGAAAGTTTATTTTATTTAGAAATCTTTTTCCCTCCTCTAAGTCCAACAAAACGCATGAATTCGAGGGGATTGAAATCATTTTCCCTCGAATTTCATTATGCCAACCAAATGTACCCTCATAGTTTTTTAGCTTATTCATACTACAATCGTAATCGTAATTAATATGTCAGTAATATTTTTTTTTGCTAGTTACACTATTGAAATGAAATTCTTTCGAATTTTGTTATATATATTATTGTATTTTGTTATATATATTATTGTGAACGTTATCGATGAAGAAATTATGACATGTTATATGATACGATGGAGGCCACATATGATTCGATATTAATTTGTTTGAAATTCACCATAATAAATGTAATGAGAACTCAAAATATCATTTACTGGTATTTAAAGTATAATTAAAAAACAAACAATTCAAATAATAAATTAAATATTATTGGTTGTGATTTTTATGATATTAACCCAAAGAAATAATCACCGAAACTATCATCTTTTAAAGCATACATTATGGTGTTGTTAAGCTCCCGTTATGACTGAGATGGTAGCCATAACGTTGTCTTAACGCAAGGAACATCACCCCATTTTCGTTAAGGGGTGTTATGACATAGAAAATTCGAAAATAATCACCGAATTTGAAATTTTTAAAATTTTAAATTTTGAACTCAAGGTTTTCGAAAATGCTCGGAACTCGTACAAAAACATGTTTGAAATTGAAGAATATACTTATTATGTTAACGATTATGTATACCCTAAAAAGTAAAAACATATAAACAATTAAACATATATGATCTATGTTGGGACAAAATGTCATTTTTTTTTTAATTGAAAACTAGTTTGTTGTTAATCTTGTGTTTGCAAATATTAGGATGTTTGTGTTGGAGTTATCATAAAACCAACATGAATTAAGACCACCACATAGGTATGTATGTCTATTTACATGAAACCCTCAACGGTCTTTGCTGCCACCACCCATTGAAGTTAAAGACGGTGATGGAATGGTTGTGACATCTCTTGGCTAACCTTGGTGTTAGTAGGTTATTCATTGACCGAATGATGAGCCACTTTTAGTGTTCAAATATGAATACATTGTTGCTAATTGAAGCCTATTAGTATACTTTATTAATATACATGGACGTTAGCAACAACATAGTTTTTTGTTATTCCATATTAGCCACCAATAGTGTAGTTCTTGTTTATTTCATATTACTCAACATTCTTTTATTGTTCGTGATATTTACTTCTTCATCTATTTAATATTTTCTCTATTTTTTTCTCCACTGTTTTATTATTTGTTATATTTTTCGTTTTTTCTTAATCGTTGTTTTCTTTTTCTTTCCCTCATCCATTCTCTGTGCAGGCTTCTTAGTTGGGGTTAATTGGGACACGTGTTCATCGTTCTTCAACTGCATCAGCACTGCACGGCCTATTCTTTCTCTGTGTCGTAGATACTGCCTTTGTTCTCTCGTTGGAGTTCTTTTGGTTTTTTATATTTCAGGTTGTTTTTGCCCAAAAGATAAATATTCATTTTTTTTTTGAAAAAAAAAGATAGATGTTTAGAAAATATATCCCTTAAATGCAACTTATATTTGTCATTACATAAATATACGAGTTGATTAAATTTAGTTATATGTGTTGGTTACATTTGGTAATATACTATGTAATATGAGCATTAATTTATAACAAAGTCCTTCATTATACCAAATTATTTTATCGAAATAATTATCCACATATTACAACTCAAAATGATTGTTTACATGTCACAACGATTTTACTATGAGAACAAGTTAGTTTAATAACAATTTCAATTTTTTGAGTGATAGTAACTCGTATGAAATATTAGTCTCGTGTGTGTATATATATACTAACAAACATATACACACACACACACACCATTGTTGGCTTTTTCTGTCATATTAGAAATGGAATGAATGTCATTATAAATATTTTATTATTTTCTAATAGCATTTTGGTAGTAAAGATGTTGCTCAATGTCAAACACAGTATAAGTTCAAAAGACATGAACAAGAAACAAAATTAATTCAACCCACAAAAAAAAGCTCACAGATTAAATTCTCATCTTAAACGATCAATTACAAACTCAAATCTACTTAAACAGATGGTTCAACAAACTGAACAAAAAGGGTCAAAACTTTAACTAGAAACAAGAACCAAACATAACCCTAATTTATAATCTCCCTTACCAGCCAATCAAGACTAGGATATGCAAAATACAGAACAAGAAAAGAAGGAACAGCAAACAGAATTGTAATCAGAATATACACAGCCAAGATGATCGCACTTGCAGGGATCGCATAAAGCACAATAAGCAGAAATATAAACACCAACGGAAACTTAGCTGTCAAGTGAACAAAAAAGATCAGTGACTTACGGATCGAAGACTGCAATCTTTCAGAGTTTGAATGGGTCCCACTAGCATCTTGACTATTATGATCAGACTCACGCGTACACGGGCCCACGGCGGAGCTCCCGCGGTTAGCCGCCCAACCACGGTTCCATGACCAGGAGGTTACTGGCGGCAGGTGGTGGTCCGGGCAGGAGGAATGCGACTTGATTCTGTCACCATTCATGCTTTCAACCATCCATAAAAGGAAGTAGTTCTTTCTAGGAAACTTTAGGTTTCCTTTGTAAACGAGGCGAAAAGATAGAAGATTGCACCATGGGCAAGATATGAAGAATGGGAGTTGAATTGGGAGAGTTGGGAGCTTGACAACAGCCCATTGGAGGCCAAGAACACAGTTTTTACAGAGGGTGTGACCACACCATAAAACGTAGGGTATGTTTTCTACAATGTTGAAGGATTCCCAACAAATTGGGCACTCGAAACCTTCTTCTCCACTGTTGGTTATGGAGATATCATCATCTGAGCAGTCTGATGAGGGATGATGGGGTCTTGAAGGATTGTTTTTAAGTCCAGAGCTACCTGCAATGGCGTTTGAAGCAAAACCCCACATATTGTTGGATCTTCTGTTTTGTTATCAGATGGTAACATCCATGCCTGCAAAAATGAAGCACAAAATAATATTTTCTTCTTTCATCCATCCGTACACATAAAACTACATTAAAAACGTAACCAATTGATTTTCAGGCCATGGAAACTGTAATAATTACATGGACAAGCGGGAAAATTGGCTTAAAACTTCGCATAGTGAAAGGGAAATCTTCAGTTACAACATAAGACGTCTCATAACTGTTTTAATCTTAACAAAACTGAAGAAAAAACACATTGCATGAACGATTAAAGCAAGCGATATTAGCGATCGATCAAATCCAGGCTACAAAACATTCAAAAAATGTACAACAACAGTAAAAACATACGAATATAAAGCCTTACTAATTCTCATGTTAAAAACTAATAAGAACCCTAATTTGGTCACATTTACGCAATCAGAGTGAATGAATACCGAGAAAAATAGTATAATCGAATCAATTCAATCAACATATACATTCTGTTTACCTAATAATCATAATAAGATGAACGCCGGAAGCAGAGAACCATTTCCACACAACAGTCTGTCCGTCTCTTTTCCTCTGGTTGTGTTTCTAAAAGGGTGAGATTTAGAGAGAGAACATCGGCAAAAGGATGTCACGGTAACCAGTTTGCGACCACATGCTTCCAAGTGTGAGGATCAGAATGATCCGGTCATTCGCCGGTTCACCGTTGTTATGTTACACTACGCCGAATGCTTCATTTTGGGCTGGGCTTCCAGAAAGAGAGCCCACAAACAATACTTCTCTTAAATATTTAAGGTTACCAAAGACTATAAGGCTACATAAAAACTTTCTTTTAAAAGATATGCTTAATATTTTTCCATCATCATTTCATAAAGGAAATACAATTATATTTTTTTTATCCAATCTATCAACTAATCTTAGCCTAAGCATATACACTTTTCGAGACAACAAAATGGAGTTTTGTCACTAGCGCAACAGTCAATGCAATCTTCAATCCACAAGATACATGTGCATGCGTCATTTGGAGTGGAAGTTTCGTTATTAATTTATTTTTCAATGCCAACAATTTTAACTGATTTATCAACTTTAATTCCAAACGTTGTAATAACACACAAAATATAATTATTGTGCATGTGTGTTTCATTCATGTTATAGTGATTATGTTTTGAAATCCTTCAGTGATGTTACTACATAGCTATAGTGAACAAGTCCTATCATACCTTTGATTTTCAACAAATCGATTAAGTGCTTAACGAGTAATTTGGTAGTAAACCTACATAAAACGACTGAAATTTGGCATTTTATTATCTTTAATTAAATCAACCACAGACTACAAACAAGCACTCATCATGAGTCGATCTGCAATGATAAACAAATTCAAAAGTACACTTCTAAAATAGAAAACCAAAGTTACATTGTCTTCCTTCCCAGCTTACCCAAAACATTTATCACCACTAAGAACAACACCTAATCTACAACCCCAAAAACACAACTTACATCAACCAAAAAACTCCTCACAAGGTTTAGTTCTTTGATTCTTTGCTCAATAAGTACTTTTTAAGAACATCCATAACTGACCCAAAATCAGCCTTCACATTCACAGGTGGATTAGCTAACCTGCAAGCCATTTCTGGAATGGCTTTGGAATGGTAATCGATCTTGGATTGAGTAAACTTTAGCCCATGTGCAGTGCTCACCACAACAGTCCTATCAGTAGGACGAATCACACCACTGTTTCTAAGTTTGTCCAAAGCAGTTAAAGCAACACCAGTATGTGGACAGATGAACATCCCGGTTGAATCAGCTTGAGCCATGGCATCCATCAGTTCTTCTTCAGTAGCTTCTTCAACAATCCCATTTGAGTTTTGGAGTGCGTAAACAGCACGATCTATTGAAACAGGATCACCGATCTGAATAGCAGAAGCGAAAGTAGTTTTTGCTTTCACTGGACTAAAATCAGTCCATCCGGATTTATAATGGAGGTAAAGAGGATTTGCGTTTGCAGCTTGAGCACAAACAAGCCTTGGAATCCTGTCGACTAATCCCAATTCTTTACACATATGAAATCCTTTGTAGAAAGCATAGATGTTACCCAAATTCCCACCGGGAACAATCACCCAATCGGGTACTTCCCAATCGAATTGTTGTAAGATTTCAATCGCGGCTGTTTTCTGCCCTTCTATCCTCAAACTGTTCAACGAATTAGCCAAATAAATCGGTAATTCAGAAGTTACTTCCCTGACTAATTGCATGCAACCATCGAAATCGGTATCGAGACTCAACACGAACGCTCCGTTTGCAATGGGCTGAACTAATTGCGCCATTGAGATCTTATTAGCAGGCAAGAAAACGATACTTGGAATACCTGCAGATGCACAGTAAGCGGATAGCGCAGCAGAAGTGTCGCCGGTGGATGCACAGCCGACTCCGACCACCGGACGATTCATTTTACGCAGCCTATTCACTTGGCTAACCAAAACAGTCATACCTAAATCTTTGAAACTACCTGTATGGCTAATACCACAGTGTTTTACCCACAAATCGTTCATACCCAGATGCTGTTTGCCATAACGCTCAGCCCAAAACATATTAGAGTTACCTTCAAACGCGCTGACGATATCATCGGAATCAATCTCCGGTAACACCCATTCTTTCTTCGACCACACACCTGACCCATATGGCCAGTTTGTTTTCCCGATTCGTCCATCAAAAAGGTTTTTCCAGTAATTTCCATCAAATTCCTTTAGGGCTTCCATATCATGTTGGACATCGAGTAGGCCACCGGAGCGGGATCGGTAAACAATCTCGTCAAGCGAGTAGGATTCCGTGCACCCAGGATCGGCGTTGAATGGGACGTATTTGGCAGAGAAGTTATTCGGTTCGGTGGAGCAGCGGCGGTGGGCTTCTTGACGGATGTTTTCATCTGCAGGGCGGCGGTGGGATTTGATGACTGGCGTTGTGTCGACTGATTTGTCCGAAGATGAGATTGTAGCCTTGACTGTAAGGAATCTAGGGCTATTGTTGATGGTCCCGGGGTTTCGTTGTTGGGGAGAGGAGAAGAAAGGTGAAGATCGGAGAAGAGAGGAGGCCGCCATTGGAGGAGGTGGAGATTAGGGAACAGTGAAAGTGTGCGGCGAGTTGGTTGTTTTAGGGCGTGGACTGTAAATTTATTTAAGATATGTGGGCTGTTGAGTGAGTTGAAAAGTCCAAAATTGCACCCAATGTGTTGATATTTTATAAATCAAGTCGATCGAAAATTTCATTTTTATTAAATCAATCTAACTAATAATGTTATTAAGTTTTAGTTATTTTTAATATCTGGTGACACATGTGAGGAAGGAATTTCTGAGAATCTCTATAGGTTGATTTTGCTTCGTAAAGAAACTTGAAACTGAAGTGTTCGTTGAAATATTACAAGTAGAATTCTTTTAATTTGTTTGTTGTTTTAAAAAAAGAAAAAAAAAATCAAACAATGATTTTTCATTTTGAAAAAAGAACGAAAAAAAAAACACATAAATTAAAAAACCGATCACATATCTATTTCATTAATATTTATGAATCTGATTTTTCCATTATCTCAAAACTCTCTTTGATATCCTATAACAATAGACCCACATATGTTATATGTATAATCTTGTGTTTTTAATTTTGTTTCTCATCACATGTTTGTATAAATGGAGGTATAAGTGAATGTTTGATATGTAATTAATTTAAGAAGGGATAATGACTTAAAAGGGTAACGAACTTTCGACTTTTGTCACATTTAGTCACTAAACTTTTTTTCGTTATCTATTTGCCATTGAACTATTGAAACTGTTCACATTTTACCTTTATGACCGGCTGTTACCGGTCATAAGGGTAAAATGTTAACAGTTTCAATAGTTTAGTGGCAAATAGATAACAAAAAAAAGTTTAGTGACTAAATGTGAACAAAATCGAAAGTTTGTTTCCCTCTAAAGAGTTCAATGACTAAATGTGAACAAATTTCCTATTGTATTATGTTTTAGCAAAATTATTTATTTTTGTTTAATTGTAGCAACATTTGTTGATAAAGAAATCTATGAAATAAAAAAAAAAAAAACAAAATGCAACATCCGGATTTCCAGGTATCATAATTTAAGTATTTTTCTTTTGAGTTAAGAAGAGAGACTCGGCGAGTTGACGCCTCAACTCGTCGAGTAAGGTCGCGACTGATGACTCGGATTAATGATTGGACTCGACAAGTCGGTGAGGCGACTCGACGAGTCTGCGTTGTCGGTAGAAACCCTAAATCTTTGGGCCCGAGCCATATTTAAAGGCACTTATGGCCTTCAATTGCCACTACCTTTCCCATAAGTGAGAACCCTAGTGTAGCACCTGGTTTCCGGTATGTGAATTTTATTTGAGCATTGCCCTATTTTAGCCTTGGACTCGGTGAGTCATAAGGTCCGACTCGCCGAGTAGGGACGAGACTCAGGACACGTTTAAGTGGGCGACTCGGCGAGTCCATATCCTGGACTCGGCGAGTCACCGCTGCTGGATGAAACCCTAAGTTTCAAGGGTTTGCACCCTATTTAAACCCTCACTCCGCCCCAACTCGTCCCCATTCACCCCCAGAACTCCCCCAACATCGTTTTCCCTTATTCCCTTGGGAGATTGAAGTGTTCTTGGTGTGTTCTTGGAGGTTTTGAGGAGAAAGGGGAGTAGATCAAGAAGAGGAGAAGGAGATCAGCCATCTTTGTGTCATTTCAACGTATTCCTTGAGGTATAGCTCGTTTCCCCTCTGTTTTCAAGCTTGTAATCCCTTTTTGCTTCATTGGAGTCCTTCTTGGGCTCTTCCCCAAGCTTGTTTGTGCTTTGTGGGTGATAATAAGTTGTTAGCCTTTAGATCTAGGCATGATCTAGTCCCTGGAACTTGGATCTAATGCCTTTATGGGTCATATTGCATGAAAGCCCTAGATCTACCCTTTTGGTGCACTTTGAGCCTTAAAATCCATATTGGTGAATATCTACACGTAAAGTTGGAAACTTTACGTGTGATTTGTGTCCTAGAAGCCCAGATCTGTGAATGGCATGGACTGGAATCGAGCAAATCGGTGTATTTGATGGATGCATGGCTGCGACTCGGCGAGTCATCTATGTGACTCGACGAGTCTGGTCGGAGTCACTGAACCGGTCCCTTTAAGATGTATCGAGTTGAGCCGTGAGTCACAGGGGGTGACTCGGTGAGTTGGAAGCTGAACTCACCCATGATAGGACTCGGCGAGTCAATGCCCTGACTCGGCGAGTCCAAGGCAATCTTCATAGATCAAGAACAGACTCGGCGAGTTGTTCATACAACTCGGCGAGTTTAGCATAAAGTGTTCTTCGGATGAAGATGAACTCGACGAGTTGTTCATACAACTCGGCGAGTAGGATGAAGAGGGTGAACGTCAGTTTAGAAGATGAACTCGTCGAGTTATAGCCCAACTCGACGAGTAGAATCAGGGACCCAGGACAATAGTTTGCTAGGGACTCGGCGAGTCGGGTAAACTAATAATTGACTTCGATTTGACTTAGGGCTAGACCAGGGGTAAAATGGTCTTTTTACCCAAAGGACAGTTAGCAGTGTATGATTAAGTATATTGTGGGAATTACAGCCGGGGAGTTTCCGGAGCAGCAGCAGCAGTAGTAGGTGATCAGTTCCCACACAGACCAGCAGCTATTTCGAGGTGAGTTTCCTTTCATTAGTAATGGGTCTAAGGCACCAAGGCCGGCCCGTGTAGATGTGACGTTAGTATTATAGTGTGGGCCGAGCCCGTATCTATTAGTCGAGTTGATTGTGATATATATACCAGTATGATAGAACTGTTTATACTTGTTGTCTGCGTGATACTTGTATGATATATGTTGACGGTTGGGTGTGGGCGAGGCCCGTATCCCTCCGAGAATGGAGTGTGGGCTAGGCCCGTATCTCCCAGGTAGCGAAGTGTGGGCGGGGCCCGTATCTTCACGAGTGTGGGTGGGGCCCGTATCTCTCAGAAAGTGAGGTGTGGGCGGGGCCCGTATCCTCACGAGTGTGGGCGGGGCCCGTATCTCCTAATTGCATGTTTTGTTTTATGCTGTATGGTATGGGGTATTATGGGGGAGCTCACTAAGCTTTGTGCTTACGGTTTCAGTTTTGGTTTCAGGTACCTCCTCAGCTAGGGGAAAGGAGCCGGCACGGTAGCAGCATGTCACACACACACTCTTCGGTTTCCGCATTTACGAGATTCACTGGGATTGTACTCTGATAATTTGATGGATTGTATGGTTTGAATATTAAAACATGTTTGCGATGTGTTATGGCGTGATCAACAATACTTTTATTTATTAATGTTTTCTAAAAGTAATGTTTTAAAAAAAAATGAAATTTTGGACATGAAAATTGGGTCGTTACAAGTTGGTATCAGAGCCCTGGTTTGAGGGATTCGGACACGCCTTTGGAGTGTCTGAACTCAAATCGAGGGATTGAAAGATTTTACAAAAGAAAAATGTTTTCTAAAACTCGGAAAGGAGTCATAAGAAAGAGCGAAGTGTGTGACGTGCGCGACCGGCCGACTCAAGTAAGTATTCCCATAGTACCCATACAAGTTTTATGTTATGTTTATCAGCTTACGTTAGAACTGCATGCTAGAATAGGCTAAGGATCTAGGAGTGATGCCTTATGTGCCTGCTTTATGTGTTTACAGCTTTATGATATTGCATGCTAAGAATTAAGTAGACAGCAGTAGGATAGCTGTTTAGGTTATGCCTGATAATATGAGCTTAGCATCCCATGTTAAGTGTCGTTTCTTGTTATAAGAATAGTTTTGGCTTGAGTCTGTTTTTCCCTTATCCGAATGCCTGCTTGCTTCGTGCTTGGTGGGATTCTGAGTAATGGAGTGAGCCACTAGGTAAACACGTCACACCACATGTAATCAGGGTTGAATAATCCCAAGTATTGGACTGCCCTATTGGCAACTCTTGTTTGAGTCCAACCGTTGTAGGGACGGATCTTTTACTTGAAGGATTATCTAGTCCTCATCACATGTGATGGTGTTTAGGTGGTGGCTAACTGGCATTATGAGGAGACCTACAGCAGCTGAGGACCAGTCGTGTTGAACTTGAGCTTTCCCTAGGGCAAGCCTAGGATGAGAATATCAGAGAGTAGTAGTAGTAAAGGGGAGCTGGTGGAGATGAGGAATTCCTCGGAGAAGGTACGGATATATATGGAAGGTAGTATGGGCCCGTACTACTGAAAGCAGAGGATCCGTACCCGAACCGAGGAAGGCCAAGACGAGACCAAGGAACCTGTAAGTAGTTGAGATCCCTCAGAAAGTAGCAGTACCACTAATGATTATTATGATGTTTTGCAGAATGGTGGGTACTTCGACGGAGACCGACAGATGGCGGGTCAGGAGAGGGATCAGGTTCGGGATCAGGCACCGAGCCGATTGATGAGAGGCTACGTGAGTTCATCACGTCGGAGATCACTAGGGGCATCCTTGAGTCGACCCCCATCATCTTTGGGTCGATCAAGGAAGGGATCATGGAGTTGATGGAGGATCGCCTACGAGCATTCAGGAGCGACTTGGCCTCTAGCCAGTCGGGATCTCGCACACTGTCCTTCAAGGACTTCAGGGGCAGTGGTGCGCCGGATTTCCACGGGGTGAAGGACCCCATTGTCGCCAGGCGGTGGATTGCGGATATTGAGTCCGCCCAGTTGACCAGCTTCTGCCCCGAGGGGTCGAAGGTGAGGTACGCAGCAGGGTGTTTACGGACCGAGCCCGGGATTGGTGGGAGTCAGTGGGTGACTCGTTGGGAGCCTCGGCTATCGAGGCAATGACCTGGTCGGACTTCGTGGCTAGGTTCAGGGCAGATGTGCCGGGCGGTCGAGCTTCAGCAGCTGGCCAGGGAGTTTCTCGACATGAGGCAGACGACAGAGACCGTGGCGGAAATCACCGCCAAGTTTCGTGAGAGGGCTTTATTGGTGCCCCAGTATGCCGGTGACGAGGACATGAGGAGGACTCGTTACCATGATATGCTACGAGCTGACATCCGGGAGCATGTTAGTTTTTCGGCTTGCCCCACCCTGGACTCCATGATTGCTAGGGCT